TGAATTCTATAGCTTGTGAGAGAGGTAGTGAGAAATATAGTACTACAAGCGATGCTCCACCTCCTCTTTTCTTTTTCTTTTTTTTCTTTTTTTTTTTGAAAAGCAACGAAGAATATTATTAAGCTTAAGTAAGAAAATAGAAAGAGGACAAGATGCTCTACCACATTATTAATAATATTATATGCTCTTTTTCTTTTTGTCTTTTGAATTTATTATTTTTTTAACACTTCACACTTTATTCTTTAAGCAATGAGAAACCAACTCCTAAAATAATCTTAGGGAGTTCGAAAACACCAAGGATCCTCTAGAGTTTTTTTTTCTTAAAGTTTCTTAAAGTGGTGTATTGTATGGGTGAGATTTAATGCTAAAAAATTGATGTGACTTGTCATTAAATCTCAACCATACAACACACCGCTCTAAGAAACTTTAGAAAAAAAAAACTCTAGAGGATCCTTACTCGTTTGAAAATTGTATTATCATTCAAATGGTCACATTCCATTTCATTTTGTTTTTAGGGTCTAGCTTTCCTCTGGTCCGTGATCAAATTTGAGGGTACTATTGGGCTCGTGAGGGCCCACCACGGATTCTGTTTCGATAATCTGAACCGTCAATGTGTAGAACTCGTCAAGTATTATATGCCTATACAAAATCATGCTGATCGGATATCGACAGCTATGTGATCAAATCCGTTTTGTATTAAAAAAAATGAATGGTGAAAAAATAAACGGTTGACAGAAATCTGATCTGATGAGATAGCTATCGATATCGATCAATGTGATTTTTTATAGGCATATATTGCTCGATGAGTTCTACACATTGAACGGTTCGGATTATCGAAACAGGACCCATGGTGGTCCCCCACAAGCCCAACGATACACTTTAGTCTGATCACGGACTGAAGGGAAGCTCAACCCTTGATTTTATTCGATTGAACTAACTATAAGTATTAAAGTTTGCAACTAGATTAAAAAATAGCTCCTCTCTTTTCTTCTCCTTATATTTAATTTTATTTTGACCTACCTATATGGAGCCCATTTTTTTTTGAAATTTAAAATATTTATAAGGTATTTTCAAAAAACGACTTCAAAGTGAAAGTACTATTTAAAAAAATATCATTTTTTTTAATGATAAATTAGTTTAAAAAAGAGTAAAAAATAGTATGAAAAACATATATAAATAAGTATTTATATATATATATATATATATATCTTTTTGTTGAATTTCAAAAGATGGCAATTTTAAGACTTTTTTATACTAGTTGTGGGAAACAAAACTATTTTTTTTTTTTTTTTTTTTTAAAAGATGTTATCTTTTGCCCAAACTATTGATTTTTATACTTTGAACCCCATGTTTTATAGATATAGAATGCTTGGATTGTGCAACTAACTAATTTTTCTTAAAACTTAGAGAGGGTGAATTCGTGTAATTTAAAAATAATTAATAACTAATACTAATGTATGAGTGATTGAATTCGTAGGGGGCAATCGCTTCTAGATCCATCATTGATGCCTGTGTATTTCTTATCGTGTCTTACAAGGCGATGAAACCCATATATTTGTGAATTCTATAGCTTGTGAGAGAGGTAGTGAGAAATATAGTACTACAAGCGATGCTCCACCTCCTCTTTTCTTTTTCTTTTTTTTCTTTTTTTTTTTGAAAAGCAACGAAGAATATTATTAAGCTTAAGTAAGAAAAAAGAAAGAGGACAAGATGCTCTACCACATTATTAATAATATTATATGCTCTTTTTCTTTTTGTCTTTTGAATTTATTATTTTTTTAACACTTCACACTTTATTCTTTAAGCAATGAGAAACCAACTCCTAAAATAATCTTAGGGAGTTTGAAAATTGAATTATCATTCAAATGGTCACATTCCATTTCATTTTGTTTTTAGGGTCTAGCTTTCCTCCGGTCCGTGATCAGATTGGAGGATACTATTGGGCTCGTGGGGCCCACCACGGATACGGTTTCGATAATCTGAACCATCAATGTGTAGAACTCATCAAGTACTATATACCTATACAAAATCACGTTGATCGGATATCAACAGCTATCTGATCAAATCCGTTTTGTATTAAAAAAAATAGATAGTGAAAAAATAAACGGTTGACAGAAATCTGATCTGATGAGATAGCTATCGATATCCGATCAATGTGATTTTTTATAGGCATATATTGCTCGATGAGTTCTACACATTGAACGGTTCGGATTATCGAAACAGGACCTGTGGTGGTCCCCCACGAGCCCAACGATACCCTTTAGTCTGATCATGGACTAAAGGGAAGCTCAACCCTTGTTTTTATTCGATTGAACTAACTATAAGTATTAAAGTTTGCAACTAGTTTAAAAAATAGCTCCTCCCTTTCTTCGCCTTATATTTAATTTTATTTTGACCTACCTATACGGAGCCCATTTTTTTTGAAATTTAAAATATTTATAAGGTATTTTCAAAACACGACTTCAAAGTGAAAGTACTATTTAAAAAAATATCATTTTTTTTAATGATAAATTAGTTTAAAAAAGAGTAAAAAATAGTATGAAAAACATATATAAATAAGTATTTATATATATATATATATATATCTTTTTGTTGAATTACAAAAGATGGCAATTTTAAGACTTTTTTATACTAGTTGTGGGAAACAAAACTATTTTTTTTTTTTTTTTTTTTTAAAAGATGTTATCTTTTGCCCAAACTATTGATTTTTATACTTTGAACGTTATGTTTCATAGATATAGAATGCTTGGATTGTGCAACTAACTAATTTTTCTTAAAACTTAGAGAGGGTGAATTCGTATAATTTAAAAATAATTAATAACTAATACTAATATATGAGTGATTGAATTCGTAGGGGGCAATCGCTTCTAGATCCATTATTGATGCCTGTGTATTTCTTACCGTGTCTTACAAGGTGATGAGATCCATATATTTGTGAATTCTATAGCTTGTGAGAGAAATAGTGAGAAATATAGTACTACAAGCGATGCTCTACTATTTTTTTATTTTTTTTGGAAAAGCAACGAAGAATATTATTAAGCTTATGTAAGAAAAAAGAGAGAGGACGAGATGCTCTACCATTATTAATAATATTATATTCTCTTTTCCTTTTGTCTTTTGAATTTTTTATTTTTTTAACACTTTACACTTTATTATTTAAGCAATGAGAATCCAATTCCTAAAATAATCTTAGGGAGTTTGAAAATTGAATTATCATTCAAATGGTTGCATTCCATTTCATTTTGTTTTTATTCGATGGGTTCGTTTGGAATGTGGGTTGACTTTTTAGCTTTTTGACTTTTTTAGCTTAAAGCTAAAAACTCTCGTTCGAGATAGATTTTTTGATTTTTTTGACTTTTGTGAGAGAAAAAAATGAAATAGTTATGATTTGGATGCGATGTTTTATCTTATTAGATTAAAAAATCTATTTTATTTTTTTTATGACTAAAATAGCTAAAAAACTAAAAAGCCTGACATGTGAAACGAAGGCTATAAGTATTAAAGTTTGCAACTAGATTAATAAATAATTCCTCTCTTTTCTCTCCTTATATTTAATTTTATTTTGACCTACCTATAGGGAACCCTTTTTTTTTTAATATTTTATTTACCAAACACAAGTACTTTAAAAATAAAATTCTCATATCCAAATAATTTAATTTTTTTTTTGAAATTTAAAATATTTATGAGGTATTTTCAAAACACGGTTTCGAAGTTAAAGTAATATTTTTAAAAAAAAAAATCAATTTTTTTTTTTTATAATAAATTAGTTTAGAAAAAAGGACATTATGAAACAACTTGGGATATAAGTTTACAACTTGAATTTAAAAATTTTATTTATTAAAAAAAAAAAAATTTGGAGTTCGGTAAGAAACTCTAGATATATTTGTTGTTTCATTTTCTTTTTTTTGGAGTAAATTGCACTAACCTGTCTTATAGTTTAGAAAATATACATAGAGTTTAGAAAATATACATAGAATTTCACAAGTTAAACATAATATTTTTTGATACTTTTAAAGTTCACATAATATTTAGTCTTATTTTCATCAGTAATTTGTTAGTCGTATAATGAAAAAATAATATTGTAATTTATTTTACTTTGAAATGTGTATTTTATCTTATTTTCTTTTGTATCAGTTTCAGGCACTTTAACTCTACCAAAGAGAAGAATGATATAATTATACCAAACTTGTAAAGCTGATTATATATATGTATATAAATCTCAGAGGTAATCATTCTAATTTACCCCTTTTTTTCTGTCTTAAAAGTTCAAAATTTCGAACTTTTATTTGCCAAGCTTATCACCTGATGTTTGCTGGTTAATATTTTCCCGTCATGCATTCAAGAATATAAATATTAGTGAACATTCAGAATTGGAATCAATTGGTAGGCAAATTGTTGCTAAGTGCGGAGGCTTGCCACTGGCAGCAAGGGCCCTCGGTGGCTTATTACGTGACCAAAAGGAGCATAAATGGAAAATGGTACTAACTAGCAATATATGGGATAAACCATACGAGGAAAGTCGCATTCTCCCAGCACTGAAATTGAGCTATCATCATCTCCCTTCCCATTTGAAGAGGTGCTTTGGTTATTGTGCAATTGTCCCAAAGGATTATGAATTTGGGGAGGAGGAATTAGTCTTGCTATGGATGGCAGAAGGTTTAATTGAACACCCAGAAGGTGAAGAACAAATAGAAGATGTAGGCCATAGGTATTTTCACGAATTGGTGTCTAGGTCATTTTTCCAATCATCAAGGCATAATAAATTGCTATTCATAATGCATGACCTCATCAATGATTTGGCTCAAGCAGTTGCAGGGGCATCTGTTTTAGGTTGGAGAATAATTCAGAGGGTGGCAAGCAGAACAAGATTTCAGACAAAGCTCGACATTCATCTTATGTTTCTAGCAGCTTTGACGGAATCAAAAAATTCAAAGCTTTCGATGATGCCAAATGTTTACGAACCTTCTTAGAGTTTTTGCCAAATAGATTCAACTACAAAACAAGGTACTTGATTCATGATTTGTTGCCAATGTTAAAGTGCTTACGTGAGTTGCGCTTGTGTTATTCTGGTATAGATGAACTACCAGATATCATTGGAGATCTAAAGCATCTACGGTACCTTGATTTATCCCATTCTCGAATTAGGAAGTTACCTGAGTCGGTGGTAACTCTCTACAATTTACAAGTCTTGTTTTTGAAATTTTGTGTTGAACTTGTGAAGTTGCCTCTAAACATGGGGAGGCTAGTGAACTTGCGCCATTTTGACATGACTGGCGTGCATATTCCATCATTTGAAGAGATGTCACTACATATAGGTAAATTAACTAATCTCCAAACATTATCAAATTTTATGGTGGGTAAAGATTGTGGACGTAAAATAGGAGAGTTGAAAAACCTATCACACATTCAAGGGGCAATACACATATCAAGAATGGAGAATGTCAGTGGTGTTAAGGATGCTGTGGATGCCAATTTAATGTCTAAGGAGGAGTTAAAAGAGTTATCACTAGAATGGGATAAATCTCGTAGTTCACATAATGACATAGTTGAGAGGGAGGTGCTTGGCGAGATGAGACCTTTCAAATTATTGGAACGACTCACCATCAGTGGGTATAGCAGTACAAAATTTCCAAACTGGGTTGGAAATGTTTCATTCTCTAAAATGGTGTTCATGCGATTAAAAGGTAGTAAATATTGCACGTCTTTGCCACCGCTTGGACAACTACCCCTGCTTAAAGACCTTTACATTGAAGGAATGAGTGCAATAAAGCGCCTAGGTTGTGAGTTCTATGGGCAGCAGTGTGGTGCCAAACCTTTCCTCTCTCTAGAGAGATTGAGATTTGAGTTTATGACAGGATGGGAGGATTGGTCTGCTTTTGAAACAGAGGGAGTTCAGCCATTCAGTCATCTCAGTGAGCTTTCCATCATAAATTGTCCCAAACTTGTTGGAAAATTACCAAATGATCTTCCTTGTCTCAATTCCCTCAAAATTGATGGTTGTCCGCAGTTGTTTATTGATGTTTCAAGCCTCGTTCAGCCATCACTTGTGTCTTTGTCAATGAAGAATGTTATGCTCCCAAGCCTTCCAGCACTCTTAGGGACGAAGAACACGATTGAACTTGGTTCCCCCACCTTGGAATTTAGCCATGTTACAGTTCTTGACTCCCTCTGCAATCCAAGCACAACTGAGGAAGAGTTACTGGCTAATGATATGTCTAAGCATTTGACTTCAATAACTGCTTTGAGCATTTCTGATGTTGAAAAACTGGCGTTCCTACCGACATGGTTTACTCGAGATTTGACAGGACTCGAGAAATTGGACATCCTTAACTGCCGAGAACTCATAACATTGTGGCGGAATAAGGTGAGAATACAAGTATGTCTCCCTTCCCTCTGCCATTTGAAGATTTCTGATTGCCCCAAACTCGTTTGCTTGTTTGAAGAAGAGCAAGAAAAAGGAGGAGAAGGTTCAAAAAAGCAGCAACATGAGGGGCTGCCTTGCATGACGAGACTCGAGTATTTAACAATTGAAGAGTGTGGAATGCTGAAGAAACTGCCACAAGATCTGCACACATACACATCTCTTGGGGTGCTTATAATCGTAGGTTGTGCAAATCTCATCTCTTTTCCAATGAAGGGTTTGCCATCTATGCTGAGAGAACTTCGGGTTGCAAGGTGTGATGCTTTGGAGTCCCTACCGGAGTTGATGACACTCAATAATCTGCAAGAGTTGAACGTTGCTAGCTGTGCATCACTCACATATTTATTGTCAAGAGGTGGGCTACCATCCACACTAAAACAACTTACGATTAGGTGGTGTAAAAATGTGGAGTCACTTTTTGCAGAGGAAGGGATCAAAATTGATTGTCCATCCCTTGAAACTATTTGGATCGTAGATTGTGGGAGTCTCAAATCTTTACCTGAAGCCAATAATCTCAGGAATCTCAGTATAATAGGTTGTCCGAATCTGGAGCCCCCGTCACTTGGTGGTCGTGATGAGAACAACAACATCAACCAACTCACTTCGCTTCAAGATCTGTTGATTGCAGAGCAGGAATGGTCTCCTACTTTGTCAAGGAAGGGAGTTTCCCCACCAACATCACTTCACTTGAAATCGGGAAATTGAGAGTGGACGACGTCGGTCAACTTCCACTTCCGCCTCCATCTCCATTAGAGTGGGGTTTGCACAAACTCTCTTCTCTTACAACACTCGAACTTGAAGGCCCAGATTGGCCGTGGGGAGATACGGTGTCCTTTCCAGAAAAAGGGATGTTCCTGCCCACCTCTCTCATCAAATTGACCATCAGAGGCTTCCCAAATCTGGGAAGACTCTCTTATGAGAAGTTTCAAAACCTCGCCTCTCTCCAATCACTTGAAATCTGGTATTGCCCTATGTTCGCGTCCTTTCCAAAGGAAGGGTTGCCTCCCTCTCTTTTGCATCTATTGATCAGGGATTGCCCTAAGCTTGCGACCTTTCCAGAACAAGGATTCCCTCCCTCGCTTTTGTCACTGGTGATCTGGCCATGTAATCTAATACTGGAACAGAAGTGTAAAAAGGGGAAAGAATATTGGCGCATCATCCAATACATTCCTCACGTAAATATAAGGTACAAACAAACAAACACAAAATCTGCCATATCATTTTTGTTTATTTATTTTCTCATTACCAATACCATCTCAATTTTTTATCACAACTGAGAGTTTACTATATCGTAAGATTGTTGTGAATGTTCAAATTATCAATACATTACTGATTAATTAAACACACTGCTCTGTTTTTTAATTTATTTTTTGTCTTTTCCTTTCAAATATTTCCTTTTCTCTTAATTTTTCTTTAGGATGTGTTTGGTTGAGAGATTTAGGGAGTGATTTAAAAAGGAAAAAGAAAAAAGATATGTGAAATTCAAATATACTTTATTCAAATTTCACTTACCTTTTCCTTTTCCTTTTCCATTTTCAAATTCTTTTCTAAATCCTCCAGCCAAACACAATATTAATAATGAATGGATAATTTTCATTCTCATTTGTTATTTTATCTTGTATTATTCATAGGTGCTGATGGAAAAATTGCCATATTTGTTTTGAAAAGAGTTTAGTTATGACTTTTAAAAAGAGTTTTGAATTGTGTGTTTCTTTATGAGTTTTAAAAATAGTTTTTGAATTGAGTTTTAAGTTGTGTGTTTGCTTATGAGTTTTGAAATTTTTTTATTAGAATCACAATTCCAAAAGTAAACCAAACACAACCTATTTTTCTATAAAATGTGCTCTAGAAAATGATATCCTATGTTTGACTGCTACTTGAAACTAATGTACTAGTAGTTGTATTAGCGGTGGTGTTTGTTGTAGTGGGGGTGGCGTCGGCGGTGGTGTTGGTAAGACTTTAGACCAAAAAATGTTTTACACTTTAGGAAAAAAATTTCACCTTCAAAAATGTAAAGCATTTATCACTGAAAAGGCTTATTTTTTATTGACCATAGAAAACATTTTCCATTTAACTTTCATTTTCTATCATACTAACCGCCAGAAAATGTGACAAACATTTTTCCAAAAACATTTTCGGCCAAAACAAACAGAGCATAAGAGATTCTTTTTTTCTAGGTTTAGCAAATATTTTGTCAAATGGGTGGCTATTGATGACCGTTTGGTTTCAACTTTCTGTATCAAGTGTGTTCCCCTGTTTTTACTCACCCTGAGCTCAATTCATGCATAATCAATTGCCATTCTTCTAAAATTCTACTTGTTCCCACATTAATTCATCCATGTTTAAGTAAACAATAGAAGCCCTGCACTTTTGTTCTACAAGTACATGAATGGAAGGAAAATATTTACTTTTGCACCATGTTTCAGTTATATTTCAAGTTTGCATTTTTGTTAGGACCTTAAGAGAATCTTTATTTTACTATTGTGCATTTAACATGCATTCCATCTCATTTTGAAAAGGAAAAAAAAAAATGCATGTACAAGCTTTGAACTTTATAAATCTGGTTTTTTGAAGTCTATTGAAATGTATAGCATCACTTTTTGATACTCTTCACGACAGTTACTCACTCAAACATAATTCTTCTATTGTTACCATCATTGTAATTTTGAGTTGTTTCAGGTTCTAGCTTTAGTAAATTTGAAATTTACTGATGATAAGCTTATGCATAAATTTTGAGTTTCGAATTTTAGGATCTTGCTTAGAATGAAAAGCTGGCAGATTGAAGAATTTTATTATCCTTAAAAGACAACAATGCTTCTCTCTCAAACCGTATAAGTGACAATCTTTAAAGATGTGGAGCTCATCAATCATCCAAAATCTTACTCACCATGTTCATGGTCTTATCCAAAATCTATAATTGATCAATAATTTGTATTAGTTCGAGTTATTTGTTCTTTTTTGAAATTGCCAAGACGAGAGCTAATGAGTGGTTCCATTTCACTTGGAATGTTGATATTGTTTTTCATCTGCACCATGAGTATGTTCGCCAACTCCACCAAATACAAACACACCTCCATGAGCATCGACAATATTTTTAACCCTAAAGAGGACAACTTTCTCAGTCTGTTAAAATCTGCAGTTGCAGCTTGTGAAACTGTGCTTTTCTGTATTTTTTCAATGTTTTGTTGAAAATTTAAATAGAAAAATGTATTGACTATTGTCATTACCTTTCTATTCTGATGGCTTTGTTGTTGTGGAAACAAACTTTAGGATGTATGCATGCCCATCATCTAAACTGCATTGCAAGTTTTCAAGGTATGCTAGGAATTTGCCTAATAAGTACTTTGGATGCTCTATTCTAAAATAAGGCTTAAAAAAATGATAAAGGAGTAAGAGATATTTCAAGATAATTGAGAAGAAGTCCTTTCCATAATTGAAAAAACCTCCCTCTAGCACACTCTTAGGCAAGACTTTTGATCATTTAAATTTCCAGACCTTGCAAAAAATCACTTTGTGTTTTTAAGCCTTTCTCCTTGCATGCTATTCTAGATTTGACAGTTAGTAAGCCATCTAGTCTGGTCAAAATTCATGTGGGCAATCCATAGTTACTTTAACACTCCAAAAATGGCAATATGGAAGAATCAGTCATTTCATCTTTTACTTGATAGAGTAGCTAAGATTTTACAATAATAGTTAATAAAATGATGAAGTTTGGTCCTTTTTCCTTGACGTGAGCTTGAGTTTGGTTGCTAATTTCAATTTATTTGTTATTAAGCAAATTCGCTTGCCTTCTTATCTCTACTACAATTGTGTTCATGTATATTACTTTGAACCTCTTATCAACTTATGGTTTTGTTTTCTTATCTTGCAGTTAGCTTTTGAGGTTGCTTGAGACTCTCCACAACAATATTGAGGTTTGTTATCTAAACCAAAAAAAAAAAAGGTAGTGCAGGCTGAAATATCCATGCACATGTGAGAGTTCCCTCGTCATCAAAGGCAATAGATTCTATGAGCAATCTGTAAGAAAGGATTTGAAGTGATTTGAATGTATGGTGTGTGATGATTTGGAAAGTTAGACGAATTCCATGCTGATGCTAAAGTTTGCTCCCTTATTGATAAAAGCACTGATGTCTGGAATGCAATGAAGCTCTCGTCACATAGTGCTTTTTGGATTTTGAAGCTGAGTTGACATGTAAAATCCCTTTTTCCCCATGGCTTGCTAATGACAAACTGGTTTGGCACTTTACTAAAAATGGCCACCTTTTTTCTGTTAATCGGCATATCATTTGGAGATGGATTTGCAAAGAAGAGAAACATGGGTCAGTTCTTCAGATGGGGTGAGTTTTGAAAGGGCATTTTGGAAAAAGATTTGGCTGCTGAAAGTTCTGAATAAAGTGAAATCTTTGAATGAAAATCTGCTTGAATATCCTACCTGTTTAGTGAAACTTGAATAGGTGCAAAGTAATTCAATTTGATTACTGTTATTATACATTACTGCTATTTTTGGTGGTTTGAGTCAGCTTACAATGTGATTGAATATGTTAACATTGTAGTCATTCACTTCCGCATCCAACACAATTTGTGGATAAATGCAGTTCTGGGCCATTTTTAAGTCTCTTGACACAACACATCTTCATTTGTAGCTCTGCTTAGGTGGCTGATTTATTAGAATTTAACTTTCTTCTAGTCTTGACACAACACACCTTCTAAACTTTTTTTGTATGTAAGTGAAGTTTTAAAATATTTTTACTTTTGAAATGTATCACAGTGTGTAGATTAAGTGAATCTACAAAGTAAAAAAATTACTTAAAATATTTAAAAAGTTCACTAAAAATGAAAAATAAACTCAAAAACTATTTTTGATTTAAACTTCTCAAAACAATAGATCATGAATTTATATTTGATGAGGGTCTTTTAACTTTTTAATGAGATTAATTTATGGAAAATTTACCCATAAATCCTAGTTTCTGAAAAGTTGAACCATTTAGTCTTAAAAGTTTTCTTATGCTCCATTTAGTCCCATTTATACATCATCATGATGTTCATGATGTAAATGAATCTGATGTTTCATTCTATAATTTCAAAATTTATTGAAATCTGATGAACATTAGATGTGTGAAATCTAATATTTGAAACATTCATCCTATAATTTCAAACATTATTGAAATCTGATGAACATTAGATGTTTGAAATCTAATGTTCGAAACATTAATATGATGTTTGAAACATTAATATGATGTTTGAAACATTGTAATGGGACCTTTCAGTCTATAAGAAAACTTTTAGGACTAAACAGTGTATAAGTTATTAATTTGGGATTTATTGGTGCATCCCCCTTAATTTATATCAAACAAAATATTGATTACATAAATAATTTTTTTTTGATAGTTTGATGGGTTACTCAGACACCATCGGTTACTATGTGGAGTCGTCTCTAAACAAGATACATCTCCACTACTTAGTGGTGGACATTGTTCACATTGACGACTACGATTGGGGTGGCGCTGCTCTAGTCACCCTCTATAGAAACCCTAGTGTTGTCATGTGCAACTGAGAGATGACCATTGAAGGTCATTAGAAATGATGAAAGGTACAATTTACTATTTTATGTCAATTCTACATTGCACATGTCATTTATGCATTTATTCTAAAATTTTTGCCTCATCTTGTACTAATCAACTCTCTGAATTGTAGATATAGAGCTTTGAGTATTTCAGGGGCGAATGCCCCTGACACTCAAGAGATGGACTAGCACGTTGTCCTTTGGTCCCGACAATACTTCTGTTAGCATTGCCGCCAGGCCCCAGGGTTGTCGAGCTTTTACAAGTTTAGATAATATTTCAACATAGTGACCCTCGATCAGACAATGAGGTTAATCCCTCTTCAATCATGTACTCTGTTGCTTTCATTCATTATGCTATGAGATTTCTAAACTTCATACTCATCTTGTTTGTGACTTGGGCATTGTGGGCAGGTGTGGCATCGAATATTGTGATGTGCTTCATCGCGGTGCTCGACATCACTCTGGTGAGTTGGAGAGGATTTTGCTAGAGGGCCTTCTATTGAGTTTGGTATTTCAACAAGCGGGGATGTTGCTAGTCTATGGGGATGGCCGCCCCCAGACTGCCTGCCGTGGTACCAGATTGCATGCGGACTACTAACACCTTCACTCCAAAGGACATCATACCAGCCATAGAGGGCACCAATGTAGAGATCTTCTATGGTGTGGCATCTAATTCCTTCATGACCACAACTTCCTGACTAAGTGAAGGCAGAGAAGCATATATGGCGCATGCACCTTGTGTGAGATAAGAGTATGTTTGTGTGTGACTGCTACCCTTTTTTTATGAAAAATGCTAAGAACCCACCCTTACGGACCCCCGAATTTACCTCAAATGTGTTTGTGTAGTAGAGATTGAATTGATAAAGTGTGTGATCTACATATGAAATGAATATAAACCATTGATTTCTTTTTCTAGTAATTCTAGGTAGATAAGGGTAAGTTTATAGTATTGTTGCTTTTTTATAGGAGGCAAAGTTACTATTTCATCTGACCAATTATTTTATTTATTTATTTTGCCATAATTTCATTTTTACAAGTTTTTATTTTCAAAACCATAACGCTATAAATTTTAACCAATTGAGATTTTACTATGTTAACGTTAGCTTAGACAATAAAATCCAACCACCACCATCACTAACCATCACAATAATCATAACACATTTTAATTATTATATCAAATTTCTTATAATTTGAAATATAAAAATCAAATAAACAAAACCCAAAATTGATTAAAAAATCAATTTGTTCCAAAAAAAATCATAAAATTAATCAAGATTTTTGATGCAAATCGATTTTTTAGGAACCTCCAGAATTAATTTATGTATATTGCACATACATATCACTCCCTACATTAAAAACTCCATCATGAAACCCATACTTTGATGTGCGCACCATGCCTTTTTAGTGATTATATATATATATATATATATATATTTTATATATATATTAGCTTGAGTTGCCATTAACTTGTCTAGATAGTACATGAGTCCATATTTACTTTAGAAATACAAAGAAAATCAAAATCCTTATTAATTAGCTTCATATCATTAATAATAGCCACAATGCTCCAATCAGGGATGCCTTGCCGTTGCAAAGTAGATACCAAAACTTGACTATCCATGAAAATGGAGATGCTTAACATATGCTGGCTTTTAGCCCAATGAATAGCTTACCAACACACTTTAACTTCGGCCAACAATGGAGAAGCTACATCCTAGAAGCATAATCTTGAACCCGTGATTGATCTATATTGAAGCAAACACATGCCACGCCCGCACTTTGATCAGCTGCCCGCCACGAACCATCTATGACAAAAGTCTACACCTAGTAATCTGTCACATTAGAGAGAGAATTTGCAAGCATACATATATCATCATTATTAAAAACATCAACAGTAGATGTTGAGGTATTAAAGCCTACTCTAAACATGGGGATGATCTTCAAGTAACATTAGAGGTAAGCTCTTCAGCAAGAAGATTTGCTTGTACTTGTGTCATACTCATCCCTTTAAACACAAAACTAATTCTCTGACGCCAAATGGTCCAAAGAATAGCAATGAATTGAACAATAATTTCATGATTCCAAAACTTAATCTATTGTTTGAACCAGTCCCAAACGAACATGGGATTTCCTCTAGAAAAATAAGGCCTAATGAAGAAGTTCGCCAAACCCGTTGAGAATACTAACATTCTACGGTCTCAATCCCTCTATCACATCACAGACAACTAGGCTCAGTGGAAACTCCTCTCCCATATAACACCCATCAGACCAAAAAAATACAGTTAAGACACTTCTATAAGAAGAGTGTCCACTTAGGTAGTCTAAGATTCTACAATCGCTAATGGTGACGTGTACCCTACGGCCTGAGCTTGCTGCATATAAATACTGCCCCAAATAATTTGATCTCGCAAAGGCACCACCAGTAAATGAATACCCCTAATACAATCTATGCACTCTAGTGGAAAAATTACTCATAGAAGATCAATCCTCAAGCATGATTTTGAGTATCAATGAAATGAGGTAGATTCAAGCATGTTAAAGAATTGCGAATATTTGGAATACATTGATCCTCCAAAGAGGATTAATTAACTTACCATTCCCTACCAAACATGGACTCGAGAACTTTCAATGGAATAGAAGTGAGAATTCTACTAAATAATTATGCTTAAAATAATTAGTTTTCGATGAATTAATTTTTTTTTTTTTAAATTGAAAAATAACAGTCAGTAGTTCAAAGGGGAAATATCATTTTAACATCAGTACAAAAAATATATTCAATTTAGTGGTTATAGTTAATTAAATTTGCTTTTCATATTGCAAAGTTTCTACTAAATTAATATTATTTTTTCCAACTTTTCATTAAAATGGTATTTCCCTTGTGTAGAAAAGAACAAATACAGGATCAGGATCTACCTACTGCATAGAAGAAAAAAAAAACTATCCAAAACACGCCACATAAAAAATAAAAAAAAAATTAAAATAAATAATAATAAAAAAACTTCAACCCTTCATCCATTCCACAAAAATACCACTGTATCAACAGAGCATTATACAACTACTAAATCAGCACCTCATAATTTACACACAAATCAACAAGGAAGTTCCTCTCCAAGCTCCAACTTGCATATCCAGTATTCTCTCTCTAATAATAAAACCTAATTATCAGCACAATCAATGGTATTTAATTGTTGTAACAACCAAAATAATGGCATGTTACAATACAAAAATGGATTGTATGTGGAACCTATAAAATTCTCAAACTGATGAAAAATAAAACACTTTTATCTTTTAGGCGAATTTCTAACGTAGTAAGATTATTGGTTAATTACATTTTTAGTTCCCAAAATATGAGTAAATTGGAACAATTTTATATATTGCGGAAACGATTGACACAATTTAAACATTGAGGATCAAATTGAAACACTTCCATACATTAGGAACCAAATTGACACAATTTAAATATTGAGGACCAAAAATGTAATTAAGCCTAAAGATTTTAGTAAGGCCCTAAACTCCAAAAGAAAAATAATAATAATAAAAAAGGTGGATGGGCAAAATTTAGGAGGGCGACTCTATTGCCAAGGCAAAAATTATGTTGAATTGACAAAACTGCCATCCAAGTTAATTCTCCTATTAGGGAAGGTCAACGATGACTGAGAAGAAGAATGAAAAGAGAAAATGTGATAATAGCCACCCCAAGCAAGCAAAGACTCGTTATCCAGATAATTAGATTACCTGCAATTGCTGCTGACTAAATAAATGGAGAAACCCAGTTTCAGGCGATGCAACTAGTTCAATCAGCTCATCATGGCTTTCAAGTGGATTGCCGGACTCCACGAGCGAAACAGAAACCTGTGAATTTAGCAAGAAACAAAAACTAAAAACTACTATTCTTTACTATAGATCCTTTGTTTCTCTTACAAATTTCCTTGAGAAGGGAAAAATATATATTGTTTTTAAAATGAGGATTAAAGATATAGAATTGAGTAACTTTACCAAGCCATACTAGAGTGTGATAATATTTGGACTTGGGTTTGAGGTTGATGCCAATTCAGAAAGAGCTACAAGCAATAGAACAATTAATTCAAATTTAAAACAATGTTATGTTGTATTTAGTACAAAACATAAATATAAAAATAAATCAAAAAATTACCTGCAGGGTCATATTGTTCAAGTTCCTCCACATCATCCATTGCCTTCCGAAGAGAAATAGGAATTGTGCTTTGAAGCCAATTCTGTGTACATATCAGAGCCTCCACCATCATTGGAGATAATGAACTACGAAATGGGTCTAAAATGCGTCCTCCTATACTAAAGGCTGATTCGCAAGCAACTGTAGAGATGGGTATTGCCAAGACATCACATGCAACTTGAGACAACACTCTATACTTGGAAGAATTGACCTTCCACCATCCCAATATATCAAACTTTTCTTCATTGGAAGCATCACACCTGTCTGCCAAGTACCTATCAACCTCAGATTTACACAGACTAGAGCATTCTTCTTCCAAATAAGTATTAAATTGAGAAGCAATTAATAGATGTGGATCATCACAATCATCATCAACCTTCATCGCTGATCCTTCACACACATTAGACATTTCGACAGTTACCGAATCATGAGAAGCATAATGCTCGTACAAACGAGACAAACAATCCTTTACCCGTCCTGTCATCTCATTGACTGAGAAGAAGAATGAAAAAAGAAAATGCGATAATAGCCACCCCAAGCAAGTAAAGACTTATTATCCAGATAATTAGATTACCTGCAATTGCTGCTGACGAAATAAATAGAGAAACCCAGTTTTAGGCAATGCACCTAGTTCAATTAGCTCATCATGGCTTTTGGGTGGATTGCCCAACTCCATGAGCAAAACAGAAACCTGTGAATTTAGCAAGAAACAAAAACTAAAAACTACTATTCTTTACTATAGATCCTTTGTTTCTCTTACAAATTTCCTTGAGAAGGGAAAAATATATTGTTTTTAAAATGAAGAAATTGGCAAAATGGTAGAATTAGCGGTGCACACGGGCCTGGTTGAACCTCTCTCCACTACCGAACCGGAATAGTGCAGGTGGATGAAAAATCAACCGATTTCGACCTGTTTTGTTGGCAAAACCGCCTCTAGATGATTTTCGATTTAATGGTCGGGTTCGGCTCGGTTGGGCAGGTTGGGCCTTCAATTTTGGGCCTTTATGAATAAATATTATTTTTAACCCATTTAACATTCAAACAACCCAATTTTATAATTTAGTGATGTTTTGCTTTGGAAAATGACCCTATTTTGGGTCAGATGTATAGTTTGGGGTATTTATTTCTCAAGATAGTGCAAGACAGTGCCTTTCCAAGCTCAACCGGCCTCCGTTTTGACCTCGGACCGTGTCTTCTGTGCATGACACTCGAATATGTGCAAGGTGTATCCTTTTTTTGTATCCTTTTGTCTCTTTTAAGAGTCAAAAGTTGCCGCACACGCATTGTTTTGCGAACACGTGTTGAGTTATACGTCATTATGCATGCATTATCATGCATTCGTCATGGCCTGGCGAGACCTTAAATACGCTCGGTCTAGGAGACCTTAAATCCTCGGAAGGTGCAAGACCTTTGGTGCATTGATATGCACAGATCATGTGCATTGCCATGCATTTCAAGCTGCTTACGTCATCGCGCATTCAAATTCACACATATGCTTTGTCATGCATCTTCTCTATCACGCATTGCCATACGCACTTATCTCGCATTGTCATGCGCATGTCATGCTTGCATTGTCATGCATTCGTCATGGTCTGGCGAGACCTTAAATACGCTCAGTCTAGGAGACCTTAAATCCTCTGAAGGTGCAAGTCCTTCGGTGTTTGTCGTGCCCGAACGACTTTTGGCAAGTTCACATGCATTATCATGCATTTCAAGCGATGCGCATCGTCGCGCATTTGAGTTCATAAGCATTTCGAGCGACACATGTGGTCGCGCATTCAAGATC